AAATGCTGATGCGACCAACTGAGAAAGTTGGTAGCATCAGTTTAACCTGGTTTCTGAGGGTACAGTTGTCTCTCGTGTTCTTGTGTTCTCCTACTTAAAAATAAATGTTTTTCATTTAAAACTTGCATCAGTATCATGGATCAAAATGTTAGTACACAAAACCGATGTAGCCTATAATATGTAGGCCTATAATAATAATAATAATATAATAATATAATAATGTAGCCTATAAGGTTTAAAGGTATTTGAGCACAAGTAGGCCAAATGCATCAATTCAGGTGGTGAATGAAAGAACCAGTCATTACTATAATCTGATTTTATTATTTAAACACTGTTTATATTTGTTTATATTCAAATAATTAAAAAAATACATTTCATTCAAAATTGAATTTTCACTTTGCTAACCCGCATCGTACAATGCCATGTGTAGGGGGCCCATTGACATTAGCCGCGTTTCCACTGCCGGGCCAGGGCCGGGCCGTGCTAGTGCGTGCCAGGGCCAGTCGCGTTTCCACTGTCACTTCCGGGGCTTGATCGGGGCTTCCTCAGGGCCAACGGCCAGGATTTCTGGCCCGTCGAATACCTTGGGCCAGAGGGGGCCAGCTCGGGCTAGAGGCGTGCTCAAGGTAAAAGGCGGAGTTTATCGGTGTTATGGAACGTTATGATCTGAAGCAAGATGCACATAGGGGTGTCACTGATTAACCGTTTAAAATTGCAAAACATTTTAATTTGAACTGTAGGCCTATGCCAAATGCTGCGCAAAAATATATAGGCTACATATCGACGAATTTTCAGATATTTGTTTGATTTTTTTTGCCCCTTAAACATTTAAAATATTTGACAAATTAATATGAAAAAAATATATATTTTACTGGTTTTCTGAGGCCAAATTAGAACCTGGAAATGATATTTTCCCTGCAGTGCTGAATGAGAAGAGCCGTTACCACAGCCTACAGAAAGGGGATTTATAGGTGATTTATAGGCTATAATAAATGTGTTTGATAATAAAATAATATAAAATAACGAGGCATTAATTGTTTATTAATAAACTATTGTTTTCTAAATGATTTTCGGCTAAAAACATATCTCCATCTCCGGATGCACATGTAGAGAGAAATTAATTAGCTATAAATACATAGTCAGAAGATATTGCTTTCGATTTGAATTTGTTCGTTTTAAATTGGACATTTAAAGCTTTAATCTACAAAGGATATAACCCCTGTAGACTAAAGCTTTAAATGTCCAATTTAAAACGAACAAATTCGAATGCGGCTGTTTCAGGTCTCACGCTTCAGTTCACGGAGTTAATGAAGCGCGCCTTGATTAATTGTTAAAGCACAACGTTTTCTTGTTATTGTGAGTTTACGCAAATAAATGTATTTGCGAATAATGTATTATTATTTTCTGTATGACCAGAAATGAAAGAGTATTTTAAGTTGTTTCCACTGAAAGAAATGCAATGAAACTGCAAGTGTTCACATGGGCGTCTCGCAGCCATCAGTGCGCGCTCCACACACACTGGATATGCGCTGATACACGTCAAAAATATTGTGTTTATTTGTGCTCTGTTCCTTTTTTGGATAAAGGCGTCTTCTACATATGCAGCCTAATAAAATGTTACAATAATGATGATGATGGTTATTATTATTATTATTATTATTTGCAGACACTGAGTTTTTGTGAAATGGACGTTTTGCTTATTTTCAATTGGCAATTTCAGTTAGAAGGGTGATGGAAATGCGGCTTTAACTGCTCCGTACTTGCTGCGTTTATTTCTATAAATTAATTTAGTTTCAAATGGGGTCCAATCAGTTATTAAAGGTGTTAAAAATTACCTCTGTATCTCGAGGTTGCGGCGCGCACACTATGCACCGAGTATTAACCGATGGGCCTCGGTTGAAGGTTCATGAATAACTTGAAAACGTGCCCGCAGCCCTACTTGTTATATCGCAAAAAATCGCTGCTTGAAATGGAGAATCGCCTGTACTGGTCTCGGGACACTATTGCAGCCACTACGGCAGGTGAGTTAATATACATGCTATCTTTCTAATTTACAAAATAAATTAATTCATAATACCCGCTGAAATGGGTTGGGTTTTATGACGTTTGATCCAGAAAGGCGTGTTAGGGGTGGGGTCTGGGGCAGCGCTGTGGGGCTACTGGCCCGGCAGTGGAAACGCAAGCCCGGTGCTTGAGGCCCGAGGCCACTAGCTCGGCTCGGCTCGCTGTTAGCTCTGGCCCAGCCCTAGCCCGGCAGTGGAAACGCGGCTAATGTACCGACACAGGACAGCAAACACAAGAGGATTAAATAGGGAGAAACTAATGAGGGAAACAGCTGACTCTAACAGGGCAATAATGACTAAACAAGGATAACAAGGGGGCGGGGTTATGAGACGAGACAACGCAAGCACACAGCCCAAACAAATGGCCATGTGCTTACACAGAAAACATGGTTCTGCCATGATCCTGCCACAAGACGGGAAAAATCAGCGACGTGATGGCAGAATCATGACAGAACCCCCACCTTAAGGAGCGGCTACCAGACGCTCCTCAAATGGACACTAAGCACAAGACAAGACAGAACGAGACATAGACAAAAACCAACAGAACATAGCAAACATCAACATTGGCAAACATGAAAAAACTATAACAGGGTTCGGGTGACACAATAAAAATAACAAACACGGGAGGGGGGGCGGGGGAACAAAGGAGTTCATGGGGGAAGGTCCAGGGTGGATGGGTGGACTAGGGGTCTTGGGCTTATGGGACGAGGGCTGAGGGCGAGGAATCCGGGTAGACTTGGATGGGGACACATGAGGCACAGTCTTAGGGGAGACAGTCCGGGGTGATGTGGTGACAGGGGTGACCGGGGAAACGCACAGGGGCACAGAGGGTGAAGAAACAGGAAACCAGACCGGGGGAACAGCAGGGGACACATCAGGACACATGACTGGGGATGTTGCAGGCGACCGGGGAGTGTTGAGAGGCAATGCTGGGCTCTCGGATTCTTTTTCAGAACCAGCGCTCTCCATAGCAGACTCGGACACATGGTTCTCTGCAGTAGACTTGGTAATTGCACTCTCTGCTGCTGGCTTGGGAGCAGTGCTCTCTACAGCTCTTGGCACAGGGTCTGGGGACAAGACAGGGACTTCTAAGATCTGGGCAAGACGAGACAGGTATTTGGACAGGGCTCTTGCAGCAATAACAATCGGTATCTCCTGATTAGCTGAAATAGAGCGAATAACAGCTTCAGCAGCAGAGTCGACCGACTCCCTCTCTGCAGCACTCACAACTGTGGGCTCTGGGACGGCGCCTGCTGGAGCGGGCTCTGGGACGGCGCCTGCTGGAGGACAAGAGGCTCCCTTCTTCCTCCTCCTCTTCCTTCTGGGTCGCGGAGCTGAGTCCGTAGCCAGGCCAGAGAACGGTAAAGGGGGCAAAGAGGGAGACGAAGCAGGTGCTGGGAAGACCACCGCAGGCAAGGGGGACTCCGTGGAGGATGACTCCGACGCGGACTCCCACGACAAACGTCTTCCACGCTTTTCACGGGGGCTGACGAACACGGGTGGTGGGTTGGGAGTCAGGGTGGAAGAAGCTTGGTCCTCAAGTGTCACGACAGCTAACATGTGACCCTCGGGGATGATTGGAAGAGTGGCAGGAGGTGAAGATCCAGTGGGATCTAGCTGTTCCTTACGAGATAGGTAGTCCACCATGCTGCGAAATGGACGGCGGACCAAACTCTCTCGTTCAGCAAGGGGAGGGAGGACCTTGAGACCTGCGACGAGGTAGCGGTTGACCAGGGACTCTGGCAAGAGAAACCTTCTCTCCTCAATGACCTGGGCGTACCTCTTTAGGGTCAACTCACCCTGGGGAGGGAAAGGAAGCTTGCCATTGGCACTGTCAGCAATAGCTGAGCGCCACCACAGTTCCGGGTCAGAAGGCTGAAGGCAAGCCGACAAGGACTGCACGTCTGGGTTCGATTGTGGTCGGTACATTCTGTCATGGAGGGGATGGATGAACCCAATTGCAGACAGCAAGTGACTCAAAATAAGGTTTCTTTAATGACAAAAACAGAAAAAAAAACCCACGATGGGGCAAAACAAGAACAGGTAGCAAACACTAAACTAAGACTCAGGCAATAAACTCACAGACAAGACTAGATACACACTTCTTACAAGATGATCAACAGAGAACTTACAGCTAGACTCACACGAGGTTTGACAAGGTAAGAAAGACAATGTACCGACACAGGACAGCAAACACAAGAGGATTAAATAGGGAGAAACTAATGAGGGAAACAGCTGACTCTAACAGGGCAATAATGACTAAACAAGGATAACAAGGGGGCGGGGTTATGAGACGAGACAACGCAAGCACACAGCCCAAACAAATGGCCATGTGCTTACACAGAAAACATGGTTCTGCCATGATCCTGCCACAAGACTAGGAAAAATCAGCGACGTGATGGCAGAATCATGACACCGATGGGTGGAGAGAGATGCTAAAGGACGTCCACTGCTAAAACGAAGCAGAAGTGGAGAGACACGAAAACGTGCTTCAGCTACTACAGGTAGTCCATGCCTTCCAAGATTATTTGTGATTATTAAGTATAATTGTGGCCATTGTATACAGAATTCAGCTTGCTGTTTGTTTGGTAGGTTAATAGGATTTCTGTTTCTGGATTTTAATCATTTTCCTTTAAATACTGTATGTTAAACTGTGCCATCAGAAACACCACATGGTGGATGTGTTACTTATGTTATGGATTTAACTGTAATGCTTAGCAATTCCAAAAAAAAAAATTAAGTAGAAGTGAAGCATCAGTGTCAGGTTCATGCTGCTAACAAGAACCTGAAAAACTCAAAAAAACGTTTAGAGTTTAAAGGAATTGTCAGACATATCAATCAACCGAATGAACACTGTATTGTATGCTTGTAAGACATGAACATTATCTCTTTCCTTTCTATCTTTCTTTTCAGTTGTTTCTGTGGTTGGCAGTGAGACGCGACACCTTTTGAGTCATCTGAGGAGGTCCCCACAATCAAACTGCTCTCAACACTTATTCGGTAAGATGACACCTGACCTTACTGTAATTAAGCAATTTAGCAATATTATTTTCTTATTTCTGTATTTTAGACATTGAGATGCAGAAACTGCAGGATGTTCAGCAGACAAGGCACCAACAAGTCCCCTTCAACATCCACATCATGGTGCTTGCGCAAATCTGTAGCCCAAGATGAGTGGCGGAATGCAAGGTCTTATCATATCAACTGCTTGCTGTCCTGCAATGTGGCTCCAGAAAAGAACTGCAGCCACTGCTATGTAAAAAAAGATGGCAAATATACACTGGTCAATCAAGGTAGTGTTTTGAACCTTTTTGGTAAAGTTTTTATTATTATTATTATTATTATTATTATTTAAACTTTTATTATGTTAATTGTACAAATTTTTAATGCTTCGTTCAAATTATTTCTCTTCTCTTTTCAGTATGTTTATTACCTACAGTGAGACCTGTCCAGTTATGCACTTGCGACCCTTCAAACTTCACAGAATCAGCTGGCAGAGCAATCATTTTGGTTTGCATAAATGGTAGGAACTATGGTTTTATATTTAAAAAGAATACTTGTCCCTTTGTGTGTTAGAATGTTCTACTTTTTTATTTTAGTTGCACTTGCCAAACTTGCTGTGTAGATTATGTCTGGCTCATTGGACACCTGACATGAGCGACCTAAGAAGAAGTGGGTACTGGCCAGCATCTGTGAATGCTGACACGCTGTTTTCAGTCGACATCTTCAGCACATTTGAAGAAATGAAAACTGTTGTACCAGGATTATCGAGACAAGGTTTTTTGCGGATGTTGGAGAGAAGGACTTGTCTGTATGGAAGGGTAAGATCAGTGTGGATAAAAGTTGAGATGGTAGAGAATATTAGTGTAGCTATTTCATTTTACTCTTCACTACTCGCATGTACAGGCTGGGAAAATACATGGAGACGTATTTCAAAGAAGCTTCATGGAATACACATTCGGCCAGTACCAGTGTGAAGAAATGGCCAGTGTAGAGCACTTCACCTGCCCGGTTTGTACACCTAACATGCTCGCTCTTTGTGCAGATGGCAACAAAAAAGTGTACCGATTTCGGCAGTCAAGAGGGTTAGTTGTTTTAACCTTGTAATTGTTTTACTTAATGTAAAATTAACATTCTTGCACGGAATATATATTTTTTCTTATTCTATTAAGGTCAGAGGAGCCCTATTTTGATGGCACCTTCATTGCCAAGGACACTGATGTACACCATTTTGTTGATGAGATCAGGAGTAAAATGAAAAGTGTTAGTTTTTGCTCCTATGTTTTAAATCCAAAATTTGAAATGTATGATTGTTGCTTTATTAAATAGATATTGTATCCCTAGCATGGTGCACTCTTTTAAGCAATCTTATGTTGAGGTTTGAAATTAAACATGCTAAACTAGCCATTTTGGATGTGGTGGCATCCAAAATGGCTAGTTTAGCAGCTCATTCATTATGTAATAGCAGGTCTCTGTAAGAGATAGTGACTATGCATGCAGTTTGTCACTCTAAAGAAAGTGGAAGATGCATTTTCTGAAGCTCCTCCTTAGTAGTAGTTTGAAAGTAAACCTTTTATTATCACTGATTACATTACAAAGATGCCAGTTGGTGTGATGTAATCTGACTTATCCTGATGGATGAAGTAACTAGAACAAAAAGCAACTTTCAGTTTTAACCAGAATTATTTTGTCATGCAGACTGCTGGAAAAGGGATCTGTGGAGCCAGTCAGTGGTCTGCTGCACGTGAAACAGCCAGAAAAGCAAGCAAACTGGATGAAGAGGGCCTTGAGGTGGTTGTTTGCAGACACGGAGTGCTACTCAAGGCTCTTAACATGTACAGGGGGGAAATATTTGCTTATCCGCTGTACCTCCAGAAGGAGCTCCAAGCAGCCACAAACGGGCAGTTCTACTGCACAGATATTATCCTATTGCTTGAAACTATTGGTCTTATCTTGAGAAGTTGTCAGTCTCCATGTTGGAACTCAGACCTTTACTGCAGATATGACCATTCCTTTCTGTCATGCATGCCAAGGCTCATTCAACGAAGTGTGAGGTACTGCATATTCTTTATAATACCTTTTGAAATTGTACTTTTATGACTTATATAATACACTGTAAATGATTATAAGTGCCACAATAATTTGTTAGATAATCTGGAGTGGCAAAAATCAGGAAGGTGCTGGCACATGTAAAGACTCTGGTCGGGTCTGATCAAGGGGGAATTTGCATATCATAATTAATAATTGATAATTAATAATTATTCATACAGATTTGGATCAGACCGGTCTTACATATTAATAAATCTCCCATTTAGGGAGGCTTATTTAATTTTACCCATATGCATACATGTGCATCCCCGCAATTAACCACAAATTAATTGCTATTAATTGCAAGGACCACGTTTTACAAGACAGGCAAAATCAATTAGCTCAATTAAGTTATAGAGCTTGTGAAAAAAAATTCTGTGGCCACAAGAATTTAGCTTTCCTGCTCTATAAACAAATACCCTCTTAGGTATGTTTAGTTCTGTAAAGCGTGTAGCTTATTGGTCGACACTTCATTGACTGGTATTATGAGCAAGACAATGATTCAGTCAAAATGAGCATAACTGTATTTAATAAAGCAACTACTTAAGCATTAAGTAGTTACAATGATACATGTATTTACAAACATTAAAACTACTAAACAAAAACTACTAAACAAAAACAAACTAAGACGACGCAGGGCGTTTAGACAATGGATACGCGTAAGTGAGTTGGAGAGAGAGAGAGAGTGAGAGAGAGTGAGTTGTAGAGAAAGAGAGAGTTACATTTACCAAAACAGTCAGTTAACCTTTCTGAACACCACGAAAACACTTTCTTAATGCTTCTTAGAAGCTCTAAAAGAAGGTATACTTGCAAAGCATATTTGGTCTGTGTGAGTCGCGGGCTCGTTGCTCGGCCTGTTCGGGCCGCGTGTCAACTGGAGGTGCTGTCCTGCGTGCGCGCGTCACGTGGAGCGCGGCCGCAGCGTTTTTGCACGGCCCGTCCCGGCGCGTGCATGGTTGGTCGCTTGCGCGTGGCTCCTTTGTTCCGTGGGGAGTCACGTGGCGTTCGTTGGCATTCAGCGCGAGTGTTTGAAAGGCTTAAAGTCTTTGAGGTGACGTTACCCGAGGAAATAGTTCGGCAAAGTTCACTTCCTTTCCTGGGAGACGAACTTGGCAGTCCACTTGAGGAAAAGACAAAGCTTTTAGACGAACAAAAGAAAAGATCCATGGTTGGATCAGATCTCCGTGAGGAGATTTCGAGCATTACATGTTTCTCTGAGCAGGTCAGAATGTAAGAAGGGAAGAGGCGGAGCCGGCGCGCTACCTTTATCCCCTTGGCAAAATCCATCCCCTTCCTGTTGACTTGAGCCAATCGGGGAGATGGACGTTGCGCGTGAGAACTCTTGGTTTATTGTCCTTTGTTCCTCAGCGCGCGCTCCTCGTGGAAGGGGGTGTGTTCACGGAGGTTAATAGTAAAACCGTTTGATCTTCATTGTCGGCAAAACAAATAAAAAATACACTTTACTTAACATCTCTATGCATATTCGAGTGTTTCATTCAATAAGCATTCTAGAGATATCAAGGAACATTTTGTTATATTAAAAGAATATACACTTATGTTTAAAATGCATGAAGAAGGTATTTCTAATTTCTATTTACGCTGTGACCAAACAAAGTTATTTCAATGTGACATGGGGAAGAACACACATACATGACATGGGGAAGAACAAACCCTTGAATACCTTTGTTAAAAGTCTTTAAAACAACAGAAATGTATTTCTCTTTGTTCAGAGACATTCGTTCGTCCACACATTCCATTGGTGTCATAAGAGTCTTGTAACTCGATGCCACTGGGGTAAGTGAGTGAATGTGTGCGTACGTTTCGGGGGAGGGTCGAGTCGCCTGGCAAAGTCCCTACACTCCCCCTTTTCGTTAGGTGAAGTCGTTGCATGGACTTCGTCGGACGACACCCATCGCAATGGACGGATGGCAGGTGAATCGTGGAGGTCAGGTAGCAGGTGGGGGTGAGGCTGAGGTTGGGCTCAGCTTGATGAGGTTCGACGCAGTCTACAGTGTGGTACCCTCTTCCTGAGGGTCCTGTGGTGGCTGTTGAGTTTTGCATCTCGTGAGCCTCTTGTGCAGCGTGAATGTCAAGTGTCAGGGTTGATTACCGTAGGGGTACCCAGCGCAGAATCAGCTGCAGTCCAGGATTGGACAACAGGTGAGGCAGTTGTGCAGTGCAGTGCAACAGGTGTGCAGTTGAGACACAGCTGGGAGGGCTATGTCACTGGGAACAAGTTCAGTTCGGCTGGGCCCCTCTTTTCACTGTTCATAATTCCAGTTCTGGAATCAGAGTGAAATCGTGGGTTTCGTAAAGGATGGGACTTGACTCAGGCTCGGTCGCAGCAGGGTAGCTCGGGTCTTGGAGCAAAGGCTGCTTGGTGAATTTTAGCAAAGTCATTCTGGCAGACAGTGAACAGTTGTCTCGCTGGAGCTCACTTGTCTGGTTCAGTAGAATGCTGTGAGCGTTGTGGATTTATCACAGTTCCTTTCAATTTCTTGATGGTCTGTGTGGAGGCACTCTGTGTTGTGAGTTACCTTTTTGGCTGTGGGATTTCAGTCTGTTTTTTTGCTGGACATTTTGACTGCGTTCTGACAGCGTTCTGACATCTGGTTGGCTGGAGGCACAGGAAGACTGCTACAGCAGCATCCTGTAACAGAGACAGGGTAGAGAGAGAAAGGGAGGAAAGAATTCAGCGGCTGTCGGCTGGGACAGTCTGATGGCTTTGAGGATGCCAAGATGCCCTGGTGTTGTGGTGTGCCGCTCACATGACTGGGCATACACTGGCATACCCCCCTTTTGCACTGTGGCAGCACAAGCCGTGGCGAAGTGATGTCACGAGGGTGCATAAATCTCGGGTGTTGGGCCGTGTAGCAGCATGTGCTTGGTGAGCTGCAGGGGTTGGGTTCGACGACAGGCTTGGGCGGTCGGAGGGGTAAAGAGGTGGTTTTCTCAGAGTTCATTTGGTTAGTCAAAGTCTTTAGTAAGCTGAAAGGTGCAGGGTAGCAAGTTCACCTCTCCATTTGGTGATGAGGCTGTGCCTTCATGGCTGGCTGCCGGAGTTCTTGTGACCTCTGTGACCTGCCAGTCAGGTTCTCGTGACCTGGAAGGGGAGGGGTTCTTGAACTTGAGCTCAGACATTCAGTTGTTTAAAGTCTATTAAGGGCTCGAAGCGATCGAACAGATCTTGGCCAATCAGAAGTGGGTAGGTGATCGTTCGTGATCGGTACACTGGGTGTATTAGGCTCATAGGACTAATTGTTGGGTGAATGGGAGCTACCTGCTTTGAGCCAGAAGTTGTTTTGGCTGTAGGATTGTACATTCAGCTTACATGTTTGGGATTTGAGAGTGCAGTCTTGACTCTTAGCTTTAGCAGTGAGTCTTTCAAAGAGTTGGGCTGACATTAGCGTGATGTTTGAGCTAGTGTCTGGCAGGCCTTCAAGGCTCAAATGATTGTCTCTGGTGGAGGCTATGTAGAGTTTTTGTGCCACCCCCTTTTGTTTAGGTTTCCCAGAAGTCTTGGCGTCTGGGCTGGTGTTGTGATCGATGAGCAGTTAGGCCCGGTCTTGTGTGGGACACCGGACTGTCATGTTCAGGTTGTGCAGCTGTCAGTTGTGGTGGCTGCTTGGTGCTGTCAC